ACAAACGCAGGATGTACTGACGCGTGGATCATGGCAAAATTCAGCTTAACATGACATAGCCGTGACGTATTTCATGATGAATGGTCGCTAAAAGTGGACTTATTGGAGTTTTTTAGTGATTGTTGACGGGCAAAGGCCATTTTGTGGGACCTGCTAGGAATTTGTATGACGACGGTTTTCTATAGAAATGTGTATGGATCAGCGGAATTTGTATTCTCAAATGCGCAAGCACTGAATTTGCTTTGCAGTACATCAAGAGAGTTATATAAAATTAATTTTGTATACTATTATTATAAAAATGTATTTAATAAAATACTTAACGAAACCAAAACAGTTTTACTTAACTGTACTTTAGCACACTCTGTTAATCATTGTTTTAAACCTATTGACTGTTAGTGTGTAATATTTAAATTTTTTTTTTATAGAATAAGGGTGGCAAACGAACAGTCTACCTGACGGCGTCTGTATATCCTTGATTAAGAATCAAACTGTAGAATGCGCTGCCACCCCTGAGGACTTAGATGGAATGGCTCGTTTTCAGTTCTCTACACTCACCATACGAAACACAGCAGCATTAAGCTGCTATTTCACGTTGATATTCTGTAAGTGAGAGTGTGTTCCCTCTCGGGTCGAGCCAATGCATCCCTGCTACAAGAAACAGTTTTTATTTATTTACACATCAGGGTTTATATTTAATAAACTGGCTACCCGATATCGTTTCGCATGGATTAGCGATTTTATACGATGTTTTTATAGAGATATACCATAAAATAGGGTAGTACGAGTACGGTTTCGTCGCCATAAGAATGATGTGTTAATGTTAAGCATCTAAAACCTAATTATGTAACATTAAACTTTTTTCTTCATGAATTGTTTTATTCATGTTAGTACAAATTAGTACGAGTAAACGATAGATAAAAATACTTCGGATGTAGCAGACAGCGCGACGTCGAGTAGCGCTGTTATCAATTACATTACACCTTATTACGAGCTAAGCAATTTAATCAGTGGTACTATCAACAGGAAACTCCGAGCTGATACAGACGCAGGTGTCTCACTATGGCACGACATTGTTTCACAGAACTAATGTGACGTAATGAACCATCCGGTCTCCGTTTACCGAATCACGTATTAGCTAAACAAACTTAAACGGGACGCTCCCATTCTACATACTAGGATCCTATTTCTAATCCTAAATCTAATGCAGTGACGCACTATTAGGATATATTCATACATGTCATAATTTCAGTTCAAGTCTCATACACGGAGCCACGCTGCAACTATGTTATGGTTGTAGCACGAATGGGTCGGCTCGACCGGGGATATAGTCTTACGGAATACCAGCGTGGACTAGTAGCTTAGTATTACCATGTCTCGTATGGTGAGTATGGAGAACTGGAGTCCCTAATTAATAGAAATGAGGCATTCCATCTAAGTCCTCAAGGGTGACAACGTAGATGTCTATGCGCCACAACATCCACTTACCATTGAGTGAACTGTGTGATCGTTTGTCACCCATATTCTATAAAAAAAATATTTTTCATAGCAATAGACATAGATAATTGATTTTAACTTTTACCAGTTTCATTTTATCTATGTAAATTAATATTTTAAGTCTTCGATTGCCCTTACACTTTATCATACAGTTTTATTGAATCTAAGAACGTCCACAATCTGATTGAGAAACTTTGCTGAGGTCAAGTTGTCCCAAGTCTTTCATGTACACGGTAATATGTACTAGTTTTCTACAACCTATCCAAAGTAACAGTAAACTTACATAATTAAAAATTTTATTTTACTGTAATCTGTAATTTTGGTTAGTCTCTTTGTTAGAAATCAAGTTAATTATGACCTACTTCCACATAATTCAATAGCCTTGAGAAATTGAACTCTTGCGCAGTTTCAATCATACATTACATTAAAGATGGATGTACTAAACTATTATTTGTTTATTTTAGTTGATTGAGTTGTTAACCTTAATTTTTGTTTAAAAAAAACCTAATGCTAAGTTCGTGTATAATTATTAATTACTCATCAATTGAAAGTTATTAAAAATGAATTGAATAAATCTAGCCTACGCTAAGCACAAGGTTTATGGGCTTAATTTTTAAAATTACTATCTAGATTCCTACTACGATAAGCCAAGTTAATAATGAAATGTACCACTTATAGATTTGGTGTGCCATTACAGGCGTTTTATTAATTGTAAATAAAATGTGGTTAACAAATAACTAGAATATGCTTTTTTTACAATCAGAGTTACCGACTTGTATTCTAGTATTACTCTCAACATAGTTTTCAGTCCAATCTCGTTGTTTTTATTCTCGTGTTTATTTTCATCAGTGTGTTGCACCGAATTTGAATTATACCTAAATAAGCATATAAACATAGCACGGTAAAGCCATTTAGACTTGAGGGAAATTACCATATTAATAAAATAAATCAATAGATAGTGTAAATTGTATCAATATAAAATATCGCGAATATTTCATATTATGAAATGATAATATGAAAAACTTTTACGTTATTCGGTACTCTAAATGTGAAAAATAATTTTCATTGAACATTTACCCATAAGTATATATAATTCTAAAGATTTGCTTATTCGTAATATTTATAAAAGGTGGAAAACAATTTGTCCCTTATATTTTTATTGTTGATAAGACAAAATTTATAGTAGGCAGCAATTTATTCACTGCCGTGTTAAGTATGTAGAACCTGTATAATTACATGCTGTGAAGCATTCCATGTTAGTTCTCAAAGGTGATGATGCATTCTTAGTCATTTGTAGCTGGTGTACAGAGGTTCAGTTGCCACTTATCATCAGCTCGTTTACGACTTCAATATTATAAAAAATCCTATTTCTATAACGTGTATGAAAGTTAAAATATTGGTAGTTTTCTCATTTAGAGAAAACAATATAGTAAACTGTTCATTTATTACAAAAATTAAAAACTGTATTTGTTGCAAAAAATGCATACACACAAGTTATTAGTACATATTCCAAATGAACGGTGAAATTGAATTACAGTAACACACACATCATTTATGTGATATGTGAGTCAACTGAAGTTTTCAATGACTAACTGTTTTAGTTATGTGCTAAAGAAATGAGTCAAACTGAAATAAAATTACTCCCTGAATAGTTTTACCGGAGCCAAAAGATACATAATATGACCTTGGAATTTTTCGTAGAGTCGTATTTTATTCAATAATTGAATAAGTTGATTTTTCAATAACGATCATAAAACACATGTTTATTGAATGCAAGGAATAAATAAAAATAAAAGAATAAAATGTCTTGCTGTGACAAATGTTTTCTTCGTTCTACGAGTTAGGTACCTACCCACATATCATTTATAAGTACAAACCTAAATATTAAAATTAGTTATTTCCGAGTTATTTAAATATCTTTCGTTAATATTTCTTTGCTATTGTTTCAAAGACTAATTTCTATAACGATTAATAAGATTTATCAAAATTACTTTTTATATACAAGTTATCGCCAACCATTCACAAATTCAAACGTTAACGGTTTCATTACAAAAAGGAGTGGAGTGATCCGTCAAAGAAAAATCCGCAGCAGTGGAACTACCTTACGTGGAAAACAATATTCTGAAAGCAAGTTCAAATCATATCAAATAACATAAAACATAGTTCAGCCCGAAAATATTAATAAACCGCGTTTTGTAATAAAACAGCGTTCCGAAATCGACTTTTATGAAAAAAAAATTCAACTTTTATTATTTCATTAATTTATTCATTGCAGCCTATCAAAAATCTCTTTGGCTCAAAGTAATAGATATAGAGAGAGTGTATTTATCAAAGTTGCCGCGCTTAGTTGGTACGTTTGGCAACCGCTGTTTTTCACAATATGAATGGTAATCACAAATATGTTACTGGCTCATCTGCTGTTTCGGTTTGTCGTTTTCCCTCCGTTGCGACAGCCACGGGATATTACTATCTAGATACTTTTATAATTATTCCGTACAAATTCCAAAAAAAAAAATACTAATATACATATTTGATATGATTCACCCATACCTTAGTTATTCGTGATTCTATATGATGTGCTGATATGTTAGTTTATCTAAGACTCCAAAAAATAAATATTTCAGCATTAACCTAATTTCAGAATTTGTTTTCTACTTTCTGTAAAGCCTACGTCTTCCGCCACTGTATCCTGTTTTATAAATTAATCGGGTTTTAGTAGTTCCACGCTCAGTTCATTCAGAACTTATTCTTGTTTCCGCACATTTAGACTTAGTTATTTATATAGATGTTATACTTACACATCACACTCTGTTGAACACATTATTACTAATACATATTACCAAATGTCTTAGTAATAATGTTTTAGTAAAAATAATGTGTTTTGTAATAAATGTAATTTACATGCATTTTTATTACGTATATAACGAAAGTTACAAATGGGGTAATCGTTTATTGGAGGGGTAAAAATATCGTCGATTCGGAATGAGCTTACTCAAATGATTCACATAAACAAGAGTATTTTTTGCTAACTTTTGTATAATAAATAATGCATAAAACTTTATTTGAATGGAAACTTTCGAAAGCTATGCACTGGCTCAAAGTTCGTAGGAAAATTTGTGTCAAAAACCGCAATGCAAAAATCCCAACCCCTATCTACCGAAGGTCCCGAGCCGGATCTGCTTACATAGCGGCATCTCGGTGGGATGGGGGCTTGGCCCGCCCTCCGCCCACCATTGGTCGTCCGTCCACCGTCGCCGCTCGGTCATGGAGAATCCCACCGGCTATTCGTCACTCGGCGCCCCACTGCCTCCACCATGTGCTCCGTGTACACTAGGCTTTATTTTACGCGCCGTCACACCAATTCATTTAGTCGCTCACTCGACACGACGCGTGCGGCACCACTATAATTTGGGGGATGTCAATTGCGATCGATTGCTATGGATTGCTCTAATATACCGGCTTTCGCGTTGTTTAGACAAACCGGCACTGTGATTATTAGGCTGAAGATGGAACTGCCGGAACATTGCTGCCGGTCGTCGGTGTGTATGACCATGGACTACAGTCAGCTTGTGCACAGGCCGTCAGGTTGTGAACAATGCTCTAGGACTAGATCAAATAGCCGAAATAGTGACTGTGATAGTGATTTAGTGGAAAAATGTCGACCTTACAAATCAAGTGCGGCTAGAAGCAGTAAGCATCTTTTTATATGTTCATATTTTCATTCATGAAATATCCATTTTTCTGCAATTTTTTCATATTTAAAATATTATTCGATATACCTAGCTAAATAATATCTAATCTGCCAATCCAACTTCTTGAATCAAACCTATAATTTAATTATGTGAAAATTTAATAAGACATAGAAATTGCATAATATAGGTACTTATATTATATTTATGGAACTTCCATATTATATATTTTTATAAAATATATAATATTTATCGTTTTTGTCTTATACAATTTGTATATGAATGGAAAACAAAAGAAGATTCACATACTTAATTAAAATTTAAAAGATTTTTAATAGTACATTTCCTTCCTTCTTCCGCCCGGCCGAATTAATCATACAATATTTGCAACAAATCGATATTACAACAAATCGATACGCTAACTAAACATGACTCGGATTTACTATAGATAATAAAGTTAACAATTATTAAACTACACTTTTACTGGCTGCAGTTTATAATGTAATTATGGTTAAAAACTGGACTCTATCTTGCCTCTACAATGTTAAATTTAATGTAAACTAACTGGGGCCTATACTGCAATTACTCGTATTTTAAATCAAGCAAATCCTTTAATAGCAGTACAGTTATGTCCGTTAGCAGGGAATTGCATAGTTATTTGCGAGCACTAACGCAAATTTGTTCTATAACGATATTCCAAGATAAGGGTTAGTTAGTTAGTTACATCCTATATACGTACCACTCCTGGGCAAAGGCCTCCTCTCATTTCTGAGAGGGGATAAAGATAAGGGTAACAGTAGTAAAATTAATAAAATGTTTGAACAATAAAACACAAATGGGATCCTTTATAATTGAATCTGATTGAAATTTTAGCTTGTCAATATATAAGGACTACATCGGAATATGAAGGAAAACAGAAAAAAAATATTTCAAATAATTCTTTGATTACCACCCCTTTAATAATAATAATAAGTTACATTACTTTTTAACGGTAGCACTTATAAAATATTATAATTGATAAATGTTAATTTGGCTCACGATACCATTAATATCTAAACTTCATTATATCAAATAAAAAATATTGTATACCTACTAAACTTCGAAATGCGCTTACAGAATTAAATTAATATATTCAAATTCACTTAAATGCTACCATTCGATTAAAATTACAATTTATTTTCTTTGCATATTAATATTATAATGTGACTAAATTATAAAAGTATTGGTATTAATATAGTAGTAGGTACCATTATGCAATCTTTATCGTATGCTTAAATGAACATCGCAGTCTACTTAAGTACGACGATGTATTTAACGATCATGCAATTAGAAAAATAGGTAATAAATCTAATAGCAAATTTTAATTAGATACTGTACCTCGGGGTCTCGCTAACAAACTATTGTCGTTCTTAATTACGTACAAAAATATACCCAAATTATTGATATGAAGTAAAACAATACCTTAAATAATGAATTTACGTTAATTTATATGTATTGTAGAGTTATACTTTTAACCGCAATAGTTAAAAAAGGTAAAGTCACTTAGGCTGTAACTTTACCTTACGTCCAACTGCCTGCTCTCTTCTAATTTCTGGGAGGGTTAACCGCAATGATATGAACTATATAAAAATTAAATATTAACTATACGATTGTTTACGTATCTAAATATGTGTTGGTAAACAATATCAAAACAATTATACATTTACCCGGAACTAATGAATTAACTTGTCTAAGAGTTTACAGTGACGGCATGAATTAATAATATCAAATGCATGCGAGTCGGAAAATATTCCGTAAACCCTCAAAAACCCCACGCTAGTTCCGCTAAAGTTAAAAAATATTCCAACTTGTAGGTGCAGCCCCGTACCGAGATATTGCAGTCGTTTGCAATTTAAGGTTAATTACATAAAATTAGTGTACAATTTTACAACCGATAACGATCAACAATTAATTCTGCTTATGAGCGATCTGTGAATGAAACCTGGACTAGTTATGTTATTTATATACCCATTATGTCGTTTAAAATAACTAGGCTGTCTATAATGAAGAACTTTGACGAAGTTTATTGAACATATAAATTTAAAATGGTTTAATAAAAAAATATCAGCTTTTCCTAAGTTAAATCGTGTTTAGTTTAATTGCTAATCATTTTTTCGGAGCTTGCCGTTCTTAGTGTTTCAAGTGTGGGTGTTGTATCTTTTATTAGAAAAAGCTGTCCTAATTTAATCGCTTTAATTATAATAATTAGATATAAACTAAGGAAAATCTATCACGGCGACAGTTCGCAAAAACATTGTCGTCACTTATTTGGCCGTAAAGGTCGTTATATAAAAATGTATATTTATAAGCTATAAAAATTATATTTCCCCTATTACGCGAATATTTGTGAATTTTTCTCACAGTGTTGTTTATTCGAACTAGAATCGTGCCTTCAGGAAATTATTAACATAAAAATAGACTACCTTAATAATTATCAAGTGGTATGTTTCTCAGTTATTTGAAGTATGCTTGAGTTGTAAGGATCGCTGTCCTCTCTCCCATTAGCGACATTTTCACATAACAAGATGTTTGTCTCAAAGACGAATGGCTGAGTACAGTCAATTATTAACAGTTAATTCAGTGAGCTGGAAATTATAATTCCAGTATCATGTCATTATATAAAAAGATTATTAGTCTTTATTTAAACTTTATAACGCTTTTCTCGAAGTTGTTTGCTTCACCATATCAGAATACCTTCATGTCCTAAAATATGACCTCAAACCGTTATTATTGTAAGTATAATATCTCTTGTTATCTCATTAAATATAATTTGAGGAAAATTTGCACATGCATGTTTCAGTAATTTTAAAGCATACGGAATCACCGGTCGATTGACGTTAAAAATGATATTATCATTTGGAGTAATTTTCGGTAAATGAAGAATGTAGCACCACGTGGCTTGTTATACTTGCCTCTATTCACGTAATCAGCACGATAGTCGCCCTTATTATGTGCACTCAAATTTTAAGAATCTCCGGTTGTTACCCAGTTATAAAAAAATTATAAAACAACTCAAGGTTTGTTAGGATTAAATTATCGATACTTTTTACGTCATACTAATCGGAATCATTTCATTAATAGTAAAAGATTTCCTTGGTATTCATTAATAGTAAAAGATTTCCTTATTTTATATCAACTACTTATGTACGTTGTAGAGTCATGCTGCAGTTATATTAGTAGTTAGTAGTATAGTTGTAGCACGAATGGGTCGGCTAGACCGGGGAAGGACTACGCTCTCACTGAATACCAGCGTGAAATGGTAGCTTGATGCTGCTGTGTTTCGTATGGTGAGTGTAGAGAACCGGATACCATTTTTACTGGAAATGAGGCATTCCATCTTAGTCCTCACGGGTGACAACGCATCTGCATTTTGATTCGTAATCGAAGATAAATGTAGATATCTATGGGCTACAGCAACCACTTACCATCAGGTGGAGTGTGTGCTCGTTTGTCACGTCACGCTATCCTATAAAAAAAGCTTCATTTCGATTCCTTCTAAACTCTTTTATCTGTTCATATTCAAAATTTACATAATGATTGCGCAGGCGCCGAACATTGAACGGAGCGCACTTTTCTTGGTTTTGGAGCCGAAATTCTAGTTAGCGGGCGCGCGATTTCTTTTTAAAAAGGTTAACAAGGTGCTCTCGTTTGGGTTGTTTTTCGTGGCGCGCAGCCTCCTTTTGTGTACGAGCGAGCTGTTAAAAAATAAACGAATTCTTTGTTTCTCGGGTAGTCGGACCGACCTCCGACGCGGTCCCTACTTTTTATGCCCCCTTATAACCTGTGTATTACCTACGTGTAGGTATCTACGGTTTTTATGGTCGCCCGGTCAGATCTTCAATGGGCTAAGGAATTCGATCGAGTCTCCACTTTGTCCATATTATAGTTTTTGTAAAGATTGTAATTACCGATCTTTTATGTACAACGCTTTATGAAATGGAGAGTCGATCTTTGATTATAAATTAGTTTCAGCCCCATTAAATTGAATTTATTCCCCGTTTTTGCTGGTACGGTATTTGTTTTATATGGATACGTCATTGGCTTTTGAAAAATGAAACAATGTGGTTTTATTAAGTCTTAAATAGATATTTTATTCCAATTTTGAATGACGTTTAACTCCTTAAAGAATAAAGAAATTGTTGCGCGACTCACGGTGACTCTACAGTTTTTTACGAGCTGACCTGTTATTTTTTTTTAGTTGAACTTTTGACGGCGGTCTCGCAGTTGCTTGCTTTTGACCGGCGCAATAATAAAATGTTATGATCGTGTGTTTAACGCGTGTTGTGTGTCGGACCTTCCTTTTGACATGATCGTTATTGCCCGACTCCGCCTTTGCGGTCGCCTTTTGTGTTCCAACTGTAACAGCGTTGTTATTGTGTCAATTAGACGATACAAACTCTACGACTAAATTACGTCTAGTTAATTCGCCGCGTTTTATCCTTCCGATAGCCGTGATTAATTTATGCGAATGGTTGTGATTTTCTCATGTAGATGAGGTGAGATAGATGATATCGATATCCTTATCCAACTTCAACGAGGGGCGTGAGATAATCGGGATCCGTTCACTGGCCTTAGTTAAATAATAAGCGGTACAGAACCCTATAACTATAGTATTTTATTTAAGGCGGCGTTGAGCCCCGGGCAAAAGAGCAAAATCACCACAAAACGGGCTAACGAGAGTTACCAGGGAAAAAATACACGCAAACAATTTTAACAATTTACGTACTGTAGACATAACAGGCAAAGTCTTGTACGGCAACGACCAATAACATGTGCTTTAATTTTGTATGTTATCGTCACTTGATGTATTATGTGATATTATCATTCCATCAACATTACAACCTATCAGTCTATCGCTGAATAAAAGATTCCCATAAATTGCCTCGTAATTGTCATGGTATTTTCCATAGTTGCCACGCTTGGCAGGTGGATTGGCAACCACAGACTTTCATCTTCTAATTGTTGTTTAGAAGACATTGCTGCCCATCTTCTAGTTTGTATCCCTCATTCGGCTCTTACGACACCAGTTCAGACATCAGTTCTATTTATGGTAGCGTATATTCCTACACCGCCACTATACGGTCTATGTAATGTACATAATCATATTTGCCACACTAGTGTCGATTACTGTATATTCCCAGATTAACTGCGAAAAACATGATTTCACATTGAAACTAACTCAAGGATGCTGTAGTGAAATGATTGTAACGCTCTACCTACGTCCCAGCAAAATGGTGTAATTTTTTTTTAAATGTTAGTCACCGTATACCAGACATAATACACGTGATTCATTACATTGAGTCAAAACAGAGTAAAGCGGTCCATCCGTGAAAAATGTACTCGTAGTACTAAAAGACGGATTTATTATCTAATTGATACAGGTTCAACTTCATTACATCATTACGGAGGGAAGTAAGGTCAGTTATATTTCCACGTGCGTAAGCGTTAGTGTGTGGTATTTCCTTAATCGAATTGATTGTTTGATGGCTACTTTCTTTTTAATTTTCTTCTTTTCTTATTTAGTTGCGAAAAAAAAGCCAAATTTCTGTATAATAATTATTTTAATTAAAATATGCAAGTCATCACCATCATCACAACCAGCAGTAGGGTTGTGTAACTCTGGTGGGAATAATTGTCAGTGGAAATCACTTCGCATGTTATATTTTTTCATTATGGATAACACTTTGTACTTTGTAGCCTAAAATAAGATATCAATATAAAAAGTTTTATTTTCTAAAAGATATAAATAATACATCAACAAACGTCAATACAAAATCACGATTTCTATTATAGTTAAACGATCGCACTGCAACTAAAATATGAGTCTGTTGGAGGAATTTGTTATGGTATCTTATTTCTGATATTCCAATCCAAGATCTCAGACTTTTATTTTGGTAGGATTGGAATCTCCAATTCAACTTACTACCATATAATAAATAGAAAATCGGAATTAACTTATATTTTAAGCTAGCTAGAGTTCGACATTATACTCGATGTCGGAAGAATGTCCGGTCGGTTACCTGCCACCGTTAAAATGTACGTCATTAGTGATTCACTTAGGTTCACTGGACAATTAGCAAAGGCTGTCCACCTCTGGGACGCGGTGTATTTATTCATCGGATGTTCAACGATTACCATAATCGATAGCATGGCGCGCCCCGCATACGGAACAAGTGGTTCTTGGGCGTTTTCATTGACGAGATGCAATAGAAAGTAAACTCAATAGATTCATCCTTTTACAAACGTAACATACGTTTTCATAACATACGCTTTTTGTGATGGTCGTATTGCTTAAGGTTCGAACTGTTTCGTTATTCGAAGACAATAATAATACGTCCCAATATGAACACGGTTACAGCTTCGTGTAATATTTCTGTACAGTTATTACGGTAAAATGACGAAAAACAAATTAAGTTTGACCCCATTAACATTTTTTTCTGGGTACATTGCTATAACATTTGTATGTAATGGTATTTTATATTTCAACGATGCATATTGCTATATAAGCCATATCATAGCATATCTGATAAGGTTATTGGCCTAAGTGCTTAAAAAAAGCAGAATAAAGAAAACGTTATTTTCCACTAGCTTTGTATTTACATGATATAACGCTATATTTTAATATAAATTCGATATAACTAAATAACCCTCCCAAATGTGATTCTATTTTGTTAGCCTGTCTTTTCCTCGTGTATAAACAAGAGTTTCTCACAGTTCTTATATCAACAGGATACGTCAACGTCTGCGCCGCGGTGTGCTTATTACTGCTGGTGGGTGGATTGTCACCTCAGTCTTCGGCGGCGCCACATCGAAGCCGCGGCATGGAGCGCCCGAGACGCTCCGCCGATTCCTCACAGGAGAATCGCCTATGGGCGAATCCCTGCGACTATAATAACTCTAATGTGAGTTGTACCATCCTCTATCTAATAATACTTACATTATTATCTATTGTTCAAGTACATAAATATTATTAGTATATTTCAACTTCATTTAGAAATTACTTACTTGATATTACTTCATAAATTATATTTAATAAAATTCTATAAGATAAACATTTAAAAATGATCTTTTTTCTGTCGTAATTAGAGTTCTGAAGACAGAAACAATTTTCGATTGTCATCTCTGTAATGATCACACGGATACCCCGGTCCAAACTTTAAATGAATTTTAATCGATCCTTTTCTTTTCTTTTCAGTCAAAATCAGCTTTAAAATACTCACCGAAACTTGCTAAGGATGTCGCTTCACAGGCAAGAAATGCACTTAAATCGACGGCGCAGTACAAAGATAAATTCGTAAGTCTCATTTTATTTCACTAACGTCGAGAATCTTTCTTTATTCGCTTTCATTGACGGAGCCGGGCTAGTGCCGAGACAATCGCGACGTAGTATTCGCGTTCACATCGATATGCCCGCCGCGTCGCTCTAAATGAACGGACGCGGCTTGCGACCGGCCAATACCAATAAAACTTTAAACTAAGGACATCGTTGCATACCTTTAGGGTCTAGTGTGATTTTATCAATTTATGAATGAAAGTACTACGTACACTTAAAATAACGCAAATATCGTTCTGCTAAATTTCTTAACCACAAGCAAAAAGCGTTATTTTCTACCAACAAAAATCTATAAGCATTGGTAATATTCAAATATTCTCGCAAAATTTCATGCATTAAAGATTCACGGCGTGCACGTTTTAGCGCCGTTTTCTCACCGCGTCGTATAGCGTGGAAGAGAGATTGCATCAGCGCGGGCGCCGCCGGTTTCGCGGCTCCACGTCCGGCCACGGCTTCCTCCCTTTTAATTATAATTTTGCACTGCGTTTATGTGATGGCATCGATACATCGACGGGACCGCTTAAATCTTTCGAGTAACCCTCAATTATATATTTTTATATCACGAAAATATTCTCGTATAAATAGCAAAGATCGAAAAGCCACAGTTTATGTAATACCAAAGAATCATTAACGCGTCCTGATCGCTTATTCATAAGATAGAGATAGATTCGTACGAAACATCACAAAGCAATTCTGACGTTTCAATCCTGAGAATATATTTCCGAATCGGAAGTAAGGTGGCCCGATCAACGGGCAATAATGCGATGACGCTGTCGCGCCTCGAATCGTTTATCGATGACCCATTACTATTGTATTTAACTGTTGCATCGGACTAAGAACGCAGGTTGGATTTTGTATACATTTCGGTTGTAGATGATGGTGTAAGTGAGGTGTGTAGAAGCGAAGAGACGATGGAAATGGAACATCGCTTGCGTCTCGTTGGAATTCGTGCATTGGTGCGTTGCGATGTTCGCGTATGAAGTATGGTGGCATTTGTAATAGGCTCGACGGTCGTAACGACGGCGACGTCCTGTCCGCTTACCGCTGCCTCCCCGTCGTAAAATGACATTATCGACGCACAGTAGCCGGAACGGAGTACAGGACGGTACGCATACGTATCGAATACTGATTGCGCATTAGTATTGCGCGACACACCTGCTCGATGATTTTTTCTGTCTCTCCCCTTAATGTCGGTCATTCGTTACTAATGTATCATATTTATTGCGATTTGGACGAAGCTCGCAGGCGATGAACCGTCATTGTGACACCAATATACTGGTCACCAAGGACGTTTAAGTCGCTTTTGTTACGTGTAACTTTTCGCATAAAAATTAAAAACTGCGCGTAACTCCAAACATATTAACTCTACGGACAATTACTACCCCTTTTTCAACGTAATGAGAACACACGCATGTTTGTGCGAATAAAAAAAAAACAAAATTTAAAAAATACAAATTCCAAAATGTTTGAGCTACTGTATCTGTGGGCAACTCATTCCTTATAAATAATAACTGGCCGCGCTGTACCAAGAACGCAATAACAAATTCAACGAACCCTACCGGTACTGTGTGACTCCGCACTGGCCACCGTGTGAATGCGTTGCAAGCTGTGGCTCTTGGTCGCCGGTGTCAAAATATTATCGCATCACATTTTAAGTTTGGAATTACTCTGATATCCATCAAAAATGTTTCGTACGCTTCATTTCAAGAACCGACGCGTAGCTCCATCTGTGAGAGTTAGGTTAGCGCGACGGGCCTTGAAACGCTACCATGTCGCTTATCGATCACAGCTAGCCACGATATATAAACTTTAAATTATACTATACTTATAATACGTATGTATGTATTATGGGTATAGTATATATGTAGATATAGCGATAGCCTTGTTCACACGGGCGACAGGCTGTCTGCGATGTTGGAGTCAGTACACACGTGTGCTATAAATATATAAAGAAGCGCGTGTGTGAGTACATGTTTATTTGATAAGCTTCCGATGTTTCGAGCTAGGTATCCGGATGCAATGTTATCGAAAGTCTAAGAAGACGGCCCACCCACGACATGTCCGAATGCGGAGTTGCCAATTCCTCGCTATGCTTACTTGTAGATATTTAAGCAGTAATTCCCCTGGGAATATATTATGAAAGTAGCCTATCTATAACTGTTCTCATTGTATTTAATTATAAATTAAATAGTATATTTTATGAATAAAGATATGAATTACATATTAAAACTTGAAAATTAGTAATTGCTCTTTTTTAATATTTCGTTTAACTCTTTTGATTGTTAATTTATTACATAATACGAATATTAATCACAACCATATAATGTGACAAAAACTTATCAATTTCTATCATGTGCATGCATAAAGTAAAAATAAATATATTGAAGATTTTAAATGAAATTATGTTATAAACAAACAAATACAAAAGAACTGTTATTAGACGTTCTAATAAGATACAATCAAATAGATAATCTCTCGGATATGGTGTCGCGGGCCGGACGAACACCTGTGTATTTTTCACGTGGGCTACTAATGAGTGACTACTAGGACATTCCGTCTTAAAAATTTGATGATCTCTTGTATCATTACAATCGCTTATGTACGAAATGGGATATCGAAATAGCATAGTCTTACTTTCTTCTTAGGCTGTGGAGTTAGTAAGTTCGTAAGTAATGTTTTGGGAAATGTTTTGTCTACATTCTTCGCTTTCGTATTAATAACTTGGTACAGTCGTGCAACAAAATTACTACTTACATTAAATGTTACTACTAACATGTAGTTTTGATTAAAAAATTATGAAAGCCACTCTAGAACTTATATATCAGATGAGTATATCACTCTTTTTCGACATCTCCTTTTCTATTTAAGTTATTTCCGCATAAAAAGTTCCGATTTCGCACGTGGCTAATCAATTGACTGATGCGCTGTGGGTTCCGAATTCGATTTCCACAGGGGACTAAGTAGTTGTTTATAACACTGCAAACAAGTTTGTAGTTTCTTGTCAATTGTGCGTTTGTCTTTTTCTGTTTTTGTATGGTATACGCCTCCATAGAAAAATTCTGAGAGATAATATTTAGAGATTTTATTTGACCCTTTTTGTGTTTTTCGCACAATATAAAATATTTTGATAACGGGTTTGACTGATAGAGATTACCATAAGTTATTAAGTTCACCCATTATAACTTTCATTTATGATGACTTAAACTAGTGATTAAGTAAATAAACGAAATAATTTCATATTTTTGTATATATTATTTTATTTTAATGCTTATGGACACATTAATGTGTCACATATGAGGAATTACATAAGTGTGGCTCAATCAATTGGTATAAAAGCAAGTTATCAAGCATTTCAAAAGCTTCTAATTTCAAAGTTAATTTTGGCAATTGATTTTACCAAACGTTTCCAGTAATTCCTCTTATCGATCCCCGTTTTCGTAGATTTCACCATACTCAGTCAACTATTTAACAATGTTTGGATATAAATTTCAGCCGAATCACGAATATTGCGCCGATGCGCAGATAACAAAATTTCACAATGCGTAAATTTTCGGCTGTTTGTCACGGAAACGTTACACGGATTTAATTAGTCGCATTGTTATGTCACGACATTATGGCTGCCGTAATACGTATCGTCCCGTTCAAAAGGGACAATCTGTTGCATTTAAGTTGCATCTGCTACCGTCTGCTGTATTTGTGCCACGATTTTATCTACCTTCAGTTTTGAGCTTTAAAAGTAATTTTTGAGTAACCGCCATCGGTCACGTATAGTCTGGGCGTAGTGTCAAATTTTAATGTCGAAATTGTTTGTTACGTGACATGTCTCGGCGGCGACGGTCAGGCCTCTGGTTTCGATCTCATCTTTCACGCGACCTTGACTGACCAATAAAATTGTTTACTGATCTTAGTAACATAAAAATACAATGCATTACCTATTATTTTGTCTATTTCATTTTATTTAAAATAATTACCGTTAATATATAAAGTTTGTTTAGTAAAAATTTACTTTAAAAATCTCCCTAAAAGGTATTAAAATAATAGCATTAACACAATTAGTGTGATTTAAAGCAAACAACTGAAGAAAACCCTGCTCGGTCCTTATTCATACTAGTACCTATGTGCGGAAAAGGAAACGGCCAAACTTCACCGCGACAAGAGTCTCATCCACAAAAATAGTAAATTGTTATGTCTCATCTTTCAATTCTACTTTCGTTCGTTTCTTTTGATGAAAACAAATTAACTAATTTCACGCTAGAACTATTTTCTACACTCAAAGAAATTAACGTGACAATTCGTACCAAAATGTAATTTACTATAGTTTCAGTTGTTTAAAATTAATAGTGTAAATAACTAAAAAAGTCAAAATGAAGATAGTTATTTTAGATCGGATAGTTATCTAAAGATGCACTATAATTAAAAATGTTCATTGACATATTATGCCTAAATTAGTAGAACGTTAGAAATATACCTATTTACTTTTAATAGCGGCAATATTAATTTCATACCGTCTTTTATTATTTGAGCTGAAGTTTAAACAAAACAATTAAAGCTTAGGGTGTTTTTCTGCAGTCCTTTAAGATATCACTATCGGTTATGTGTAAATGGTATACCATAATATTTTTTCTATGTTACAGGCGTTAAAGTTACACAGTTACCCGAGTTTCGACGAGCTGCTTCAAGCCTGGACCGGGTACGACTGGCTGCGAAAGTTCCCTTGGTTCCGTGAGGAAGTGCTGCCAAAGGAGAAAGTCCTCAACCAGTTAATGCCCGACGAGTACATGAACCAGTTGATGGTAAGTTACGCTTAATGCCTTCATTTTTTTATGTTGTTATAAAATTACCATTAAAAATCATAATAAGATATTATGCCTGAAATGTGTGTGAATGTGATATTATTTATGATTATCTCTTAAAATAAATGATGCTTTAAATATAAAATTTTTTAAAAGGATTTTCCTATTCAATGGACGGCCCGACTCAGCTGACTAAGAGTTGGGCTGTGGCACTGAGAGTTGCAGGTTCGATTCCCGCCCGATACAAGTATTTGTATCGCTTACAAATAATTATAATATAATCATGTAAAATTTATGTTTGCTGTAAAACATCTCCACTAAAACGGAGAATCTCTTGCAGTGAAACTATTCATAGCTTAGAAGAAAAAAATAGCAAAGTTACGATGTATTTCAATAAATGAACCAAAATGGTGTTTAAGTCTACATTATTTAACTAAAGGTACTCTTAGATATGTTACTTAACCCAATATTTTTTTTATCAATCATATGACGACGTATTCGCTGATGCCAAAACGTGCATCCTCATAAGTTTTTCAATCGATTTCAAAGAATCAGCATCGTCGGTGGCACTCATTGTTGTTAGCCGACAGCCTTTACGTGAGAACACAATGATTTTGCAATATTGAGGTTTCAGTCACAAAATTTATGTTTCAAATTTAATCAATAAATGTATCGATTAAATAGCCTTCTCGATTCCTGTAAGGACTGTACTAAATTATATAGGTTTTAATATATACCTATCTTTCCTTGTATCTACAGGACCACATTGACGAAATTCTACCATCAATGTACAAGGGATTAAAAATGGTTGTCGCCGGCTTGTACGCGATCAGCAATGAAGGGCTTAACGACAACATTATTTCCGATGAAAGTCTAAAAGGAAGCATCAACCTGACCATGCATGATGTACGGGCAGTTCTGTGCTTATTTAATGTAAGTATTATTTATCAATTAAGGAAATTTAAAGGATACTTCTAACTGTCAAAAATTATCATATTAAAGATACAATCAATATATTTTTATTATCGTTTTTGCAGGACATAATGAAGTCGCGGAACTTGGAAATAATGCCGTTACCGGACTCGGAAATCCCCAATTTCAAGACAGAAGACAAATTGTCAGTTGGACTACTCGTCTACAGGGATACCCTTAACTACTTGGAATATTTATCGCAGGTTTTCCAGAAAATGTACGAAACGGCACCTAAACAAGCCGATTGAAACCGATAGTTTTGAACTTAGGATATTAAGACCGCCAAACACTATGCGGAATTATTACCCAGACGATTTGGGTCGCCTACTTAAAGATTGGTGCTTTTATTAAGGAGTAAAATGTATTACGTTAACTTACGTCACCGCATTCGGTCTTGGTAAGCCACGTACAGTGGGTCTCCTGCTAGTAGAATTGTTGCATTTTTGGCTGTTGATATGTAGTAGAAAATGTATTTGCCATTACATTGCCATTTTGGTCTAGAACTAATTAGTTCCTTTTATTATTATTTTTTGTGTGTAAATAGCGACGAATTTAAAATGTATTATTTATTGTTTAACATACAACAATCTAAATTTTCTGATATCCTAGTCAAGGTCTTAACTTATTTATTTCTTGCTTTTTCTCCACTTTAATTTCATTTACTTCGTTAAAGGTATTACTAGTTTAAGGTCTTTTAGTATTGAATTCCATTCCACCAAACTAGATCGATTGATGTTTGATGTTAGTAAATTATTGAGTTAGTGCATAAAGACAAATGCTTGATCATGGAAAAATTATTTTATTTAGTAACAACTGCTTCCGCCATCTTACATGTGACTACTGCGGTCGAGGCTGCGATTAGTTCTTTTAATGTAAATTGTAATTCCTAATTTGTTTAGTATTACTTGACTCTTTGTTATCTATTTATACTACTGTTACGTAAATCCAATGAAATATGACTAGCTTTAATAGAGCTGTTAATTATATTATTGTAAAGTACAGAGCCAGTGTATTTATGACTTAATCATTATTTGTATAGTTCAAATAGTATTTATAACTGAGGCAGACATACAAGCTATGTTTGTGAAATTAAATTATTATTACATTTAATTGACTTTATTCGATTTTGTTTCATTTTCCTTTAACTCCAATTATAGAGCAAATAACAATCGAAAATCATTGTACGTTTAGGTATAACACAATGAATAAAAATGTACAATTAGAATAAATGTTTAATCAATATATATAAGACAAATAGAAGAAAATTTTAATCTTTAAAAGGTTAAAATATTAATCTTTAATAATTGGTGTGAAATTAGTCTAGTCTCCTGTAAAGAACTCAATTTTGCAATGATTGACATTTATATTTAGATTTTATGACAAGCTCAGTTTAACAATGACCACCCTACCCAAAGCTTGTTCCCATGCGTCGGGACTGGAAACAATTTCAAATCTTTACACAAGATATTCACAAAGCGACACATATTTGCGTTGGTGACTTAGTCACTCCGACGAATTAGAGTGAGAGGCGACGGGAGTTCGAAAAATAGTAAAAAATCACAGAATTCCTTCCACCTATTAAACTCTACTAAAATCTACTTTAACATATATCATTAAGTATCAAATTTGTGTGACTTTTATCTTTATGGAAATATAAAAAATGTTGTTTCTGCAACACCTCGTTCCGTCGATCAAACGTTCAACCGCCGTATTTATTTAATAAGTTAGTATAGCTTAGTTGTTGCCGGGAGTCCTCAAGGTGCTAAGTTAGTTTTGTTGATTAGTCGGAAGAACCAAAAAGTGCATTGAGTTTGACCCCCTACCTCGTTTCATATACAATTCTGTAAAGCTGAGTTCATATATATTTTTTATTTATTTTGGGTTAATTTGTATATTTCAATCAATCAACTTTCAACTCATTGCTATTAAATAACTTTAGTTAAATCATAGAATACTATAAAACACAATAGATTATAGAGCTGTTAACCTTATTTTGTATGAGGATCGGTTTCACCGGGAACACACATACAAGCAATTACGTCGTATTATAGACTGAGCGAATATACACATTTTAGACTTTTAATTAATGTTTTTGAGACATCAATATTTCTTTATTTTCGTTTCTAATATTTACGAAATATAGTCGTAAGTAAGTCGAAACTTATATATTTACGAAATCTATAAGTTTCGACTTACTGGTTGTAGGATATCTCTCCTTTATTTAAACTATATTTTCCGCTGTTCATTCGGCAGGTAATTATTGCACAATTTGCCAATTTTTTTTAAATAATTTGCATGCAGCGACGCTTGACACGAAAACGATTGATTGTGTTGACATTTATAGGTGTGAATTGACATGCTAGTGGCTACACGAGCTCCGCCCACTCCCCGTTCTATTACGAGACTGAGTTAAAGCGTTATGGTTTCGAACATTTCGATAACATGTCATTATACAGACAAAGAAAAAAATATAATATTGTTAGTGTGTGTGACACTCAAGAAGCGGTAAATTTTTCGAAACAAGCTCTATTCTTCGCTATTAAAAATTTATTGAGTACCTAACTTTTTATATAAATTTATTTTAGAATAATTTGCAATATCTCAATTAACACGATTGCATATTAGAATTATTGTTTTCTATTTAATCAATTACTTATATACATAACTTTTAATGTTTGTAATATGATGTTTGTATCTTTGTTCAAACAAGTTTAATTAACCGATTTAACTGATTTTTGAACAGAAACAGAACAGAAACTTTTTATATTCAATGTAGACATGAGTTACTTTTTTCATTTACCACGGTTCGCAACAAAAACCTCTGCCCTGGGAAGAACCAGCAAGAAACCCAGCGGGACTATTCTTTTTTTCAAATAATAGCTTACAATCATGTTTACAATTAACAACACAAGACAAATTAGAAATAGCTTGGTAGCGATCACACTTCCCAGGTGCCATCATCCATAAATTTCTTAATATTATAATAACCAAACTATTTTATAACCAAATTATTATAATAACCAAATTATTTTATATTTACTGACAAATTGTACTTCGACAATGATCCTAATCCATTCATTGAATGAATGGATTAGGATCATTGAAATTAATAATCTGCTTAAAACAGATTATTAATTTCAATCAGAACTGATAATTATTGCAGATGTTATTTAACTAATAGTTATCTCAGTAATTGCCAGGGTTTACCGACACTGACTTCTCGATATTGTTCGAAAGTTACGAGTAAGTAATGTTTATCTAAACGTAAAAATATTTAAGTGGCCAAAGCAAAGACATATTAGCTGAAATTTGTATCCGCACCTCACTCCCATATCCTCGAACTGTTTCGCCCTACAGGTTCCAAGATATGTCTCAGCGTTGTCGAGGCCTCGTTAATGCGAAACACATATTTGCATAATAACAGGCAAAGCTTATTGACAATGACCTACCACATTGTTTGTTGACTTCGATCGTTTTAAAGGTAAAATATACTGCGGGAGTGTAATACAGTTAATATATAGTGGCGGTGTAACAATATCCACCGCCCCATATCATCCCGTGGGTGTTGTAAGAGGCGACACAGGAAAACAAAACATGAGAGGGCAGCGTCTACCTAATGACAACTAAAAAAAACTATGGGTGATTGGCAACCATTATGGTTGATTGGCTAATATTTCATGGGAAGGCATAGGCCTTACTGAACATAAGTTCAGCAGTAAACTAGTATAGGCTTTAGGGATGTAATTGCAGAGTTAAGTAAAGAAATTATTTTTTTAGGATCCGTATACAGTACGCGATGACTGCTGTCTGCAATTGCTCTCTCACCGCAGAACTGCAAGCCAATTGGAAAATCAAATTACAACTGACGAAGTGGGCCCTCTGACCCAATTAGCGCAGGCGGACTTCGCATGTCTTCCAACTTTTTTAAATTCCTAGATATGCGAGTTCCCTCACAATGTTCTTCTTCTTGTTCCTTCATCGCCGAACACATGGTTACTCAACACTTAAAATTGCATTTAAAAATTTCATTGGTGGCGATGGGGCTTGAGCTCGGATTGCTTGCTTACTGTTTATAATATTATTATAATACGATTTCCGTTTTTATCTCTATAAGCTGCAAAGGTACTTAAATAAAAAAATAACTATTTTCGTAATATTTTTGTAAAAAAAAACAAATCCATCGACGACAGCGCAACTGTATATACTTAAGACAATTCTTCGTTTAGATGAAAATATTAAGGAAAAGCGCCTACAAATTAATCACTTTTGTTACCTCCACGACTAATGTTGATGGTGGAAATGGTGATTATATACTCTTGGTTCACTTCTACACCTGAGCACAATTTGAAAAAAATACACAGTGGTATATTAGACTATATAATAAAATATATTAGTATTTTACTGGGAAATATAACCACATCCACAACCTCTTTACTCACTGGGTCTCGTACCTACGAACTTACATACTTTCCGTTCATTACAAAATTATTTCAATGCCTATCAATTTGATAATAATAGCTTTTTGAAAAATACCGTAAAGTATAATTTCAGTCAAAAGTGAAGATTGTTGATAACAATCGTATCGTATACCGACGAATACACGACCTCAATTGGTCGTGTATATACAAAAGACAATTTTTAAGTTAATTATAAAGTTTTTTTTTTTATACATACTCGTGCAAAAATCCAATAATCACCTATTAAGAAACAGTCATCCAGAAACACACTTATAATTTGACATTATTAATCAATTCCACTGTTATGAAATGCAATAAACTACTATTTTAGTTTTTATGTGTAATTATTATAATGCAAATGTTAGCGCCATATACGAGTTTATAACATAGTGTAAGGCCAATAAGAGCTATGGTAACACAAAAGATAAACGGTTACATGAGTTTTCGACTCTCGCTAGGCCACCAATAAAATTGTGCTAAATGAGCAAGTGCAACAGCAAGGGATAATATCATCATCATCATTACAGCCCTTCACAAGTCCTCTGCTGAACGTAGGCCTCCCCCAAGTAATGCCACAAAGCACGGTCCTGAGCCACCTGCATCAATCGACTTCCTGCTTGTTTTACCAGGTCGTCACTCCATCTAGTGGGGGGTCGCCCTACACTACGCCTACCGGTACAAGGCTGCCACTCGAGAACCTTTCTTCCCCATCGGTTACCGGTTCTTCGAGCTATATGGCCGGCCCATTGTCACTTCAGCTTACTAATCCGTTGGGCTATGTCGGTCACTCT